CTCGTATTGCACCCAAAAAGCCAAAAAGGTTCATTTAGTTTTCCTATGGGCCTTCATGCTTTCTAGTCATAAATAGTTGGGCTCTGAGGTGGAAAAGAGCCCCTGTTGTAGAACAAAAGTTTTTGATTAAATATCTATAGTGTACTATGTAATTATGTATTATATACATTATATATTACATTATTATGTAAAGGTTTTCAAACCTTAAAAAGGTTAATCACCACTCACACATCTCTTAATGAAAATGATTCCCTGAAGAATCATCAACTGACCTGTTCTTTAGGGGGCGGAAGGGGTTCTTCTATGGCATCACTCCAAAGAACAATGCATTTTTACCCTTATTTGGTAGCTTAATTTTTAAGCTTTTTAAAGATTTTTAAGATAGTAGTTATGGAAGTTTGAATTGAAGTGTGGACCCACATACAGGTCCTTGGGATTAAAGGGTTAACTGTAAAAGACATGCAGTTTAAAATACTGCTTGTTGTTTGTAGTGTAGATTACACAATACATTGTATTACGCTGCTGTAAAACTGTGAGTCGGGATGGGGGACTTTCACTCACCACCAGGTGGCACAAGTGATGGAGGAGGAGGCGTCACCTACACCCTCTAGAGGGGAGGACTGTGTATTCTGGCAGAAGAATGAAAACCCATCCTCAAAGAGCTGTATACCACATTCTACTGCTGCGTCTTTAAATCAACAGTGTTACACAGCGGAGCACACAGGCGAACGGCTCCACGTATAAACCAATGGCATTTTTTCATTACAAAACCATATTATTCCTTGCACAGCAGCAAGGAGAGAGTTAAATGACTGCATGGAAGAATGTACTTAAAATCTACACAATGGTGCCAGACTGGTGTCATGATGTGGCCTAGCATTTACATGGCTGCCTTCCGGACTAAGAGTCTTTCAGTGTGAGCAGAACTGTAGGAGGCAACACATGTTGAGTGCAGCGCTTGCACACATGCTGGACGTGGGAGCCACTGGACCGCTGGACACCGCCTTCACACTTCTCTGGCTCACACAGACGCTTGGGAACCTGCTAGATCTTAAACCACAAGGAAACAATGTGAGTTCTAGCTGTTAATACTGTAGTTGGTTTGCACATTTCATCTACGACATTTTATATAACAGTCCAAGGTCATTGTTCAATAGATCAGAAGCAGATTGAAATACTGTAATTCAATGTTCTTTGCTAATACATTGAGATGATGCATTAAACAGGACCCTAATATGATGTATCGTGTACTTTTTAGTGCTTCATAATACTGTGCATTTTCTCACCTGCTGTAAGCTCATAAATGCAAAACTCTCAGCCAAAGTCTGCATGTACAGTATAACCATCTGCACAAGATCATAGCTAGATAACTATTTGACAATGGTTCTATTTAGAACCATTTAATGCATAAATGGGTCTTCGCATGGTGACATGGTTCTTTAAATTGTTGGAGATTGTGTTGCATAAGGTTCTACATAGAACCCTTTGACAATAGCACCAAAAAGGGTTCTGCTATTGTTACGATGTCAACAATTACAATATCAAGCTTGTAAGCCTTTTTGGTGCTACATAGGGCTATTTCCAAATAGGTTCTATATAGAAGCATATACAACACATTCTCAATCTCAAGAGCCATTTAAGCATTAAATAATTCTATACAGAACTCATGGTTCTAAATAGAATCATTACCTTTACTAAAGAACCCTTGAAGAACCATCTGTTTTCTGTGTCAGCTGGAAACATAACAGCACTGCATGAAAACTAAGCCAAATTAAAAGCCATGACCTAATGATACAGCGGCCGACTTAAAAGCCTGTGCTTATGTCATAACTGACGAAGGACACATGTGAGGCTGGGATTAGTTAATGCCATGCTGTTGACCATGAATACTGAGTTTATGTAAAAGTATATATATATATATATATATATATATATATATATATATACAAAATCAGAGACCACTTCCTTGTGTAGCTGAGAAAAAGTAAAAGACAAAAACTAACATTTACAATTTCAACAAAGAAGCTGCTGGTGTTCTCAGAACAGTGGACTGTCCACCCCAGAGTCCAGACCTCAACATCATTGAATGTGTTTAAGATTACTTGGATCATGAGAAGCATAATATACAACCAACTTCTAAGACTAAACTTTGGAGGTGTGGAAAAATATCCCTGCAAATTTTGTTAAAAACCGAAAGAAAATTTCCGAAAAGGAATGGAACACGTAATAAAGGTAAAGTGTGGACGCAGTAAATACTGAAAAATGATTTAATATTTAGTTGTTTGTACTTAAAGGCTGTTTTTGCAAACCTGCACAGTCTGCAAAGAAACTGTTCAAATAATAATGATGTAAAACACACCAATCACCTTTTGAAAGAATTTTGAAAAGAAAAATACAGTCCTAGAATGATCATAATAAAAAAGTTATAAAATAAACTAAATTAAATGATGTCCATATATGTTTTGTGCCCCCTGTATATTGAATTATATATTCAAGTGCAATCACAAGTCATTCTTAAGGCTGTGTATGGCAGTGACAGTTCTCTCATTTTTCAAAAAAAAATGAAAGGAATCCATCCAAATTCATGAGGATTAGAGACAATTCCTCGGGGGAGCACATCTAATAAGTAAGGCTCCCTTGTCACTCCAGGACTAGATATGATTCATGTGATCATATAGAGAGCTAGACTCTGGGAGCTAAGGAAGACTTCTGCATTCATGAATGCATGCATTCAAACAGAAGAAAAAAACTGTGCTAAGTGTCCTCATATACTTTTTATAATTTCTAAACGAGAAAAAGATTACATTCCAGCCTAATGTAGAGTTTATGTTCAAAAATGCTGCACATTTCCCAGCATTAGATCATTTAGCATGGTTTCCTGTGGCTGCCTGTCGAGAGGTCACATCTTACCTACCGAGTACAAATGGCCAAATTTATTCAGCCAATCTGTGCACTATTGATTTTTCTGCCTTGCAGCGCTGTCTCAACACTGCCTGCATACAAAATCAATGCGTTACGCACAAACATACCCACATACACACACATATAAATACTTACAAACACATATTTATATTGAAGGCTTAATGTTTCAGTGTCTTTTGTCTTTTTGTACAACTGTAACCACCTTAACTTACAACTCATACAAATATCAATGGGCTACAGTGCACCGTGACTGCTTTTGTGCGGTAATGACTTTAGTCGGTCTCAGGAAGGCCTAATATGAAGCCCTAACTGGGATAATTGAGGTCTTGGAGGGGCATGACGACTTTCACTTTTAACATTAAATCAAATTCATAAACTTTGCCCACAAATGCCTCTTGCACCAAGCATAGCCATGAAGAGCAGTAAAGCACTTTTGATGCCTCTGATGAGGAGGAATGTCAATCTTGTTTCTACTAATGAAAATCCAATTTGCTCCATCGTTCCTGGTGTAGCTCCCCACGTGCTTGACCGATTAGAGTATCTGGGTAGTAAGTGCAAAACTGCAATCTAGGTTTTTAAACCCCTACACAGTGAAAACACTCTGACATGACTTACGCTTGTACAACAGGCAAGAAATTAGGAAGCTCAGTAATGGAAAGACAGCACATTTAATGCATGGCCATTATGGGATCGGGGTCATATTCCCCTGTATTCCCTCCAGTATTAAATCTGGCAGTGAAAGCAAGCCAGTATTAATCTATACTGAGAAAAGTGATGCATACAAAACTATTACATCAACACAATTACTGCCAAAAGTAGGTAAACTGACAAAATTGTGTTGGAATATGTTTCCTTCATCTGGAAATAATTTACATAAATGAATGAAGTAAATCCAATACGTTACTTTTATCAGTGTACAAAATTCTGACCTGCTCTTGTTTGCTGGTGTGCTCCTCTCCTGACTGGGAATTCCCTCTCTTGACAAGTTAAAAGCATGCTTTAAAAGCAAGGTTATTCTTGCGGATGTGTCATAGTGAGGGAATATGAGTGGAATTTCCTCAGAACTGATGCAGCACATTTTGTTGCAAGTTTCCTGAGAAATATAATAACATCAGAATCTTCTACAATCAGAACTAAATATAAATGCATGCTCTGTAGGGGCTAAAACTTATGTCTGTTTTGTAAACCTCAGGATAAGCAAAGCTGATATCATAAATCTGTTGTTTGGAATCTTCAGAATAGCATGTTCTGCCACTTTAAGAGCAGATCAGACCTCCCCCCTCCCCCAATCATTCACTTTCATCTATCTGCTTCTGTTGTTTATGTCTCCAGTTCCAAGTAATACTGTAGGAAACCACTTATCTTGTGGTGTTAGGAAGATTTTGTGACCAAATAAGGTGTTCCTGAGTTATCCCACCATTTTTCTCCAATAAATCCTTATCATTAAGTCATCATGCTGAATGTACTGAGTAATTGCATTTATACGACAACTACACCAAAATTAGAGTACTGAATTATTCTTAGTGCTCACAATTTGAGAAGATTTGTCTGGAAAACATTCCTATTTCATTGTGTCCACTAAACAAATGCTGTATAGCAACAGCCTTGTTTTAGCACCTGTTCCAACTCAAGAAGGATTTGATTATACACTGGGGAGTCCAATCAGGTGTGCAAAAACAGAGCAGGCAGTAAACTGTGCTGTTTAGCGCCCCCTCATGACTACAAGAGGGCACTGCTGCCGTATAGTATATAGGCACTCGATTTTGCCTTTGCTGGCTGCAAGCAATTCTTTGGCTTCCACCAGTGTGAGAGAGCCCAAGCTTTCCTAAAGAAATAAAGTGTACATTAAAATGGAAGAATTCACACAGTCAGATTTATTTAATGCAATATAATTTATACCGGATCTTGAGGTCTTAAGGCATGAATAATTTACATTGATGTACATTTTTCCCTCTGACATATTTCTGAAATATGTGAACTGCATATCTGAAAATGATGCTTGTTCATGATTATAGTCTCTACACCTCCGACAGTAAAAGCTCATTTAAAAAGTGAAAGCAAAAGAGTAATTTAGGAACTCACAAAATAAAATTTCGGTTTATTGTTGCACAACAATTTCACACATACATCAAACAGGCCACAATAGATAGCAATTTAATAGACAAGTAAGAAAAGAAAATTCTTTTCTTCGGCCTTGCCATCTCATACAAACCAACTAGTATGGTACAACTGATGTACATACACAAAGTACTGGAATGCTTTGAATTAAACTGCTTTTGATTTTTTACAATTTCAGTTGAGATAACATGACATGGTCAAACCACAAGTAAAATCTATTTCATAGAGAGGCTTCAACTTCAAAGCACCGTTTGGTAACCAGAGATCACTGTCAAAAATGGCTGACCTCCTAACAATATGTACAAAAATATAAAATGTAAATAAAAATACAAACAAATTCTCCTTTTAAAGTATTTTGTAAGAAGGTAGAGCTTTGAAGTCTTGGTTGTTTCTACAAAATTTGCAGTTAGGTGTGTGTACACAGATGCTGAACTCTACTTGATGATGACCACATTTTTGTCTTCCCCCAGTGGACGAGTTAAGGAAAGGAGGGTTGAAAGGATGTTCAGCAGGATTCCCTCTTAATCATCTGTCTTCTGCTTCTTAGTTTCAACGTCATCCTGAAAATGTGCCCATACGGAATTAGAACACACTGCACAGAAACTCTGTGCTATGGTGAACTAATATGAAAACACTTCTTAAAAAAAAACACACTTACTTCATCATCATCATCTTCAGCTGCCCTTTTCCCTGTACCGCCCTCGGCCTCATCATCTTCTTCGTCATCATCACCTGCAACATTGTGAGTTTAGGTCAGACAGGTTTGCAAACATGCAGCGTTGCTCAACACACATGAAGAGCTCTTTCAAAGTTATTACAGCACAGCAGTGAAGGCACTACATCATAGGTTGATAATAAGAGTCTAATAACAATATGAGTTACCCTCTCCATCATCCTCCTCGTCCTCTTCCTCGCCAACATCATCCTCTTCCTCTTCTACTTCATTTTCCGGATCTCCATTTTCCTCATTATCCTGATGAAACATTAGTATTATGATTTTATAATTCAGCATTTGTCAGAACACTGACACCTGAGGCCAAATTATTAAAAGTTTAACTTCTAGTCAGACTTCCAGTCTAGTGTTGGCTTATGTTTTAAATTCCCATCTCATGGTCTGAGGAAAATCCAAGGAAAAACTTACTGCATTTCCATTGGCTGGAGCATCTTTTCCATTTTCTGCTTCCTCTTCAACCAATTTCTTTTCTTTAAGGTCCTGAATAATGAAATACACTGAGTTATTTGGGCTGCCTTTCTTACAGGGGTGCTTAAATGTTTGAACTTTCAAAAGCTTTCTTTTTGTTCACACGGACAAAATGTGCCGAACTTCGACTCTCAAAGCCTATTGGACGTCGGTCTTTTCCATCCCCGCCTAGTTTAAAGTGCTATATTGAAGCGTTGTAATCTGATACGCCGGTGGCGTTAGCGCCAAAGAGCTTTGTAGTCCAGTAAATAATCTACATCATAGGCTTAAACGAAGACACGCCCGGCGAAAAACTACAACTCCCAGACTGCACACCCACAGATTATTTTAACACAGCCAATAAGAAGGCGGGAACGAACACAAACCAGAACGAGGCTCAGTAGATTAAGCCGAGAGAGAGAGAGAGAGAGAGAGAGAGAGAGAGAGAGAGAACAATAGCGAACATGGCACATATGGATTTTCCTTCCCCATCACAGACACTTTAGTTTAACAAATCTCTTTAAAACAATTACTGTAAAGCTGCTTCTACTCTTAGAGTTAATTTATTTCTCCAGTTGTAAAATTAATATTTTACAACTGCCTCTTTTCACCTTCAGAACAGGCCTGTGTCACAGCCTAGTATATCGTCTGATGTGGCAGATCGCTCGTATTAATAAATTTAGGCCGAGTCTTTAAGCCGTTTAGCGCCACAGCGCGCCAGCAGCGACGCCTCCTCACACCATCACCACCACCATTACACACGGCAGCCCTGTGGACTCGGCTCGGGTGAATAATCCGGGTTGGGATACAGACCACGACGTCCTGTGGAGGTGTGTTTCTGAGGAGGGGGGGGGTGTGGGGGTGAATAAATAAATAATAAAGAGTGCGCCGTGGACAGGCTACAAAACGAGAAGAACAGCGTGGCCGGTCACCGACAGCTGAGACGGAAACGATCTCCAAATCTGAGCCTGATGAAGAGCGGAGTCGCGCACACCGACTAACAAAGGACGAATGGTCAAATAGGGCCAGTTTCCTCCACACAGCCAGCAGAGCCAGGGCTCTTTCAGACGAACTTTTAAAACTGCGCGAGAAAAGAAATGCAACTAGTTTTAAAGCCTATTGTGAAGTCCCACCATCCGAGAGACAGAGAGAGAAAGAGAGAGAGAGATACAGAGAGAGAGCGCCGAGCAGACTGTGAGCTCCGAGCAGACGAGGATGTGTCAGTGGAGGAGAATCTGTATTTACGGCTCAGGAAGATGAGAGAGAGTCGCGTCTGTTTCAGCTTTATGGCTCATTCTCCGTCAGCTCGCTCTGTTCGTGATATAAAGCCTCTGATTTGACCGGACAGGTAACGGTAGTGCAGTCGCCCCGACCCCCAAACCGGCAGCTCAAGTTAAATGAGGAGAAACACTCACCGCTATCGGTACGAAGTCGCTTTCGTGCGTTAAACTTTTTATTTATGCTCCAAGTTCAGATTTAAATGCGTCAAATGTGAATGAACTCCCCGCCAAAAGGAGCAGCCGTGTAAACACACCCGCGGCGGAGCGTGACGGCGAGAAATGAACACCCGCCGGAGCCCCGATCCATCAGATCTCTCACAGAGTCGCCCGCGGAGAGAGAGAGCCGAGTCGGAGGGACTCGTTGCAGGTTTAAACTCAGAAAACGAGCCGCTCTCTGGTCTCACTCGCCGAGCAGCGGACAGACGGAGACACGCGGCGGCGGCGCTGCTCTGCCGGACAACTTCACGGTCAGAACCAGGTGAGCAGAAGCTCCGCGGCTCGGAGAGCCGGACCAGCCGCTGACAGCGGCGGCGGAATGAGGGGAGCGGGGGCCGAAACCCAGCCCCTCTGCTCAGAGGAGAAGTTGGCGGCGTTGTGATATCAGTGTGCGCAGAGCCGAAGGTACTTTTTCAGAAAGAGGGAACCGAAACGCCTCTACAACAAAGAACCCGCGCAGACTGTTAGAGGCTGAGGAGCAGACAAAGCTAGCTCACGTTAGCGCTCCCTGCAAAATCTCTCTGAAACAGAAAAAACCCAACTTCAGAGTGCAGGTTACATTTTCCCCGCTCATCCAGGAAGAAAAAGTCCTCACTAAAATTCATCCACGTCGACGACAACAAAGATACCGGCAACTAAACTGTGCTCAACACCTCATTTATATCTTTAACACTCAGAAAAAATCCTCCATCCGAAAACACGAATGTAAGTCCGTCTTTTGTAAATTCCGTTTACCACAAACCGAGTACATGATAAGTCCCCCTACCTTGGCGGAGATTTCCGAGCTGGTGTCGACTTTTGTGTCAGCCATTTCTGCCTAAAATGTGAAAATGGGATGCGGTCACACGGAAAAAAATAAATGTAAAGAGAGAGGAGGGGGAAAGAATCCAAAAAGCGCCTATAATAAAGATAAAGGGTGAGTTAGTGCCTGTGGCAAACTCCTCCGACGGCGGAGCCCCTTATATAGAGAAGTGGGCGGGGCCTGGAAGCGGGCACTCTGCGCTGATTGGTCGAAGCGACGAAAAATCTGTGGGCTGTGTCTAATTCGCCAGACTGGAACAATGGACAGTATTTCTATACCGAGGGAACCCGCTTGCAAAACCAACCTTTCTGCCTCATTTATGTGACTGCTCTCCTTCTGATGGATGACTTATGTGAGCCCCCACCTCAAAAAAGACCTCGATTTAGGCTATACTTTTTTTTTTTGGAAAAGCAGAACAACCTGATGGCCTGGACTAATAACGCAGTCTCGGCTGTACCTTACAGATGACCAGCAGACAAACACAGTTAAAGCCACCACACTTGTAATTAGGTCTTTATTCTTGTTCAATCTGGCTTAACTGCTTGTAACTACAACCTCAGTGGGCTGCATTTCAGTGTTATTACGCTGGATCTGTGGGCGTTATTACATGTAAGGTATATGGACTAGAGAGCAAACATTTACATTGAAATGTAATTCACTTTTTGCAGGATATTCTCCTGCAATGAGAACATGAACATGAGCAGATGTCATTCCGAGTGGTCAGGCATCACCTTCTGATATGACAAGGTTACATGTGAAACTTTATTGTGTTTTTTTTTTTTATTTAAGCTGTTTAATGAACAAGGTCACACTGGCAAAGATCAAAGGATAATATTGCGGTACTTAGTGGAGCTCCTTCACGAATTTGAGTGACAGTTATCGGCCCCTCCCCTTTACCAAAGTGTCTCTTTGCTGAAAAATATTATTGTCTGTGTGGAGGGAGACGAAGTCTGCGCTACCGCTTCGTGAATGCTTACTGCTGGCATGAGGTGCCGTTTTGCCCTGATCCCAGAACAGCTTTTGACTCCTGTCTTATGTTACTGTGATGAGTAATGGGTAAGACGAAGCTGATCCCAGATCAGTCGAAAAAAGCCAGCGTTAACGCTGCCTCGTTCAACAGAACTAGGAAGCAATGCTGATAAAGTGAGCGCGAGCACGACGGTTAATTTGTCCAATGGACGATTTTATTGACGCGTTTTGTCAAAAAATGTGAAATTACTTACGAGCAATCCAAAAGCTAAAGCTTGCTTAGGTGTTTTTTAGGTTTCGGGTTATCGTTGCAACAACAAAGATGGCTGACTTTACTAATCGTGACGGCAAGTTATAAACAACAAAGCGGTTTGACTTAACAGTTTTATAGTCCGTTTGGGGATGTATGGACCAAGTCTTATGATTGTACAATGTGAACGAGGAACGCGTGCCAAATATTAACAATCAAAACAGAAAAGGAGAAAATCTCTGTCCCTCACCAAGATGGCCGTCCTAAAATGCCGTATGGCGTCTTGAAGTCTCCTCATTGGATGATGGAGGGGAGCGAACGCACACTTGACGCTTTGCGAGTGCTGATTGGATTTCACAGACGTCAATCAAACAAAATAGCGCGCTGACGGTTCTTTTAAAAACCTGGAGTTTAAATCCACATGTGGATCCGGATCATATCTGAGCTTTAGCTCGTTCTGGTGCGCTGAAAGTGTTTTTGCAAACCAGCGTAGCTTTTAACTTTACTCAGCTTAGCTATTTTCCCTCGGAAAGAGCATTTGAAAGAATGTAATGTCTTAATAGGCTTTAGTTTATTATCATGTAAAATATGTATTCACAAAAGTGAGGAGTATAAGTGTGGGCCTTAAAATTAGGAATTTAAGAATTAATTAATTAAGATTAGATATGAGATTAGATTTTTGCGGATTCCAACCAATATTAAATCGATATTTCATTTTTATTTTGTTTTTAACATAAAGATAATTGGGAATTATTACCTAATAATAAGACATTTCTTATTGAAAGGGCCTACATATTGTGAACTAGGTACCACTATAAGGAGAACAGAGGCTAGTTACATTTTACTGTAAATTAAGTCTTAAATACAGCTTTCTAAATGAATAATTACAAATTTGCAAAATATGATAACTGATATTGCAGCTGTTAATTTTTACAGAGTGAAGCAGTGATTACTCACACTGCAGCCCCCCGGCCTATGGTACTGTGTGTAGTAATTCAGTTGTCCGCAAACCAAATGGGAGCTAAAGACTGATGAAGCTGTGAGAAATGAAACAGCTTGGGTTGTCTGTAAACCCATCAAAACTAACTTGCAAGTTTTACTTTCAATGCTTAAGTTTGTCATATGCAGTTACTTTCACACTTTCCACTATGAAGGGAACACTTTCGCTTTCATAATCTGAGCTAAAAGTTGTCTGTTCAGCACTAAAGGAGGTCTTTTTTCAGTGTTCAAGATCCTTCAAAGTACAAATGGTAAAGTGGTGTTTTTATTCCAGACTGCTTTTGTTGCCAACTTAGCCTATATGCACATAACATTGTAGAAATAAAAAATATTTTTTTTAAGTTTGTTGCCTCTACAGATTTTTTTAGGTCAGTTAATGTCATTAGCCTTTGTGTTTTCATGTAATTATTCATGTAATTGTTGTTCTTTATATTCACACATCTGCCTGTTTTAGTTCTCCCCCTGGTGGAAAAACAGCAGCATTTTCAAAATAATGGCACTAAAAAGGAAAGCAGGTTACAAGAGGCCATGCTCTCCTGTCCCAGCTCTTGTATAGGTAAACACATTTCTTAAGTCATCAGTAGATGGAAATAATATCTTAAGTTATTTGCACACAGAAGCATGTTTTTGCTCTCAGAGAATTTCATCATTTTTTTTCAAACTTTCAACATAATTCAGTTCTTGAGATGTAAACAAAGTCATTCAGAGCATTTAATGTGAAATGGTGCACTTTAGAGAAACTTCCAGAATTATTTACAGTGGTGGTGAAAGGAAACAAGTATCACATATCTACAACACCTATACAGCCCTTTTTACTATCCAATACAACCAGTGAACCTAGACACATCTTCAGAGTTGTTATATCTAATGTGGATAATGGTAAAATAATACACTCTTAGAAATGGTTCTTAGATGGTTCTTTAGTAAAGGTAGTGGTTCTATTTAGAACCCTGAGTTCTATGTAGAACCATTTGCATGCTTAAATGGTTCTTTACATGGTGAAATCGTTCTTCAGATTGATGGAGAATGTGCTGTCTTTGGTTCTATATAGAACCTTTCTGCAAATGTTTCTATATAGCAGCAAAAATGGAGCTTCTAGTTACAAGTTTGACATCGTAAAAATAGAAGAACCATTTACAAGACATTCTCCATCCATGGGAAGAACCATTTAACTTGAGTGTTCAAAGTTCTATATAGAAACACTGCCTTTACTAAAGAACCCTTTAAGAACCTTCTTTTTCAAGTGTCTAGAATCTTTAAAAGTGGTTCTGTATAGCACATGTTTCTTATATTGTTATAAGCAGAACCCTTTTGGTGCTATCTAGAACAATACACAACACATTTTCCATCAATCTAAAGAACGCTTTCACCATGCAGAGAACCATTTAAGCATGAAACTCATAATTTACTTTAATAAAGAGCACTTGGAGAAGCATCTTTTTAAGTCTGTAGTAAAGCTGAAAAATAAGTTTTCTTTGGGTACACTCTTAAAAAAGATGGTTCTTCAAGGGTTCTTTAGTAAAGAAAATGGTTCTATATAGAACCATGAACACTTAAAGAACCCTTTGCATGATCAAGAACACTAATCATGCAAAGGGTTCTTAAGTGTTAATGGGTCTATATAGAACCATTTTTATTACTAAAGAACCCTTGAAGAACAACCATTTGTAACCATTTCATGCAATAACTTTATGTTAGAAGGCAGCTCATGCCATAAGTGCTTCAGACGCCTGGTTCCTATCGCCACCACTATGAACAATTCTGACTCGGTAAGTTTCTCTAGAAAGGAGAATTTCACATCAGATGACTCAGAATAACTTTGTTTACATACCAGCGATTTAAATAGGCAGAAATTTTGTTGGTGGGATTTCCCTTTGAGTTAGAACATTAACTTATACAGCCACAGTAGAGCCAGTTTTGTGCACATATTTTAGAAATACAATTGTTTTAAACCTCTTTTTAACCTTGTTTTACTAAGTGCCTTTATATGGGCTCACACTTAACTTCCTTACTTAATTTCATAGTAGGTATAACGTACCTCTGAATAATAAGTCTTGTTCAGTATTCAGTATTGTTCAGTAAGTCTTATTTAGTATTCAGTATTCAGTGTTCTTCAGTAAGTCTTATTAGTATTCAGTATTATTTAGTAAGTCTTGTTCAGTATTCAGTTTTATTCAGTAAGTCTTGTTCAGTATACAGTATTATTCAGTAAGTCTTGATCTATATTCAGTAAGTCTTATTCAATATTCAGTATTATTCAGTAAGTCATATTATTCAGTACTTAAAAGCTGAATAATGACGTTACAGTTTAAAAGGTTATTCTCCCACCGTAACTTAGACCTGAAAAAACTTTATGATGTACACTGTGACTATAGGTCATGATCATGAGGGGAACAATTCTGACTGAGATGAAAACACACTTATTGGCTGCCCCCTACTGAAGTGAAAAAGAAGAAGCACACTTTGTCCCCCCCCAACCCCCCACCCCCTTTGTTTTTACAGGGGCTTTGACTAGTCTAAAGACAAACCATGAGAGGGCAGTATCTTGGATCTCTGATTCATACTATAAGCGCTCTTTTCTTGTCAGCTACAATAATAGCCTGGCTGGAAATCCCCATGCTTTGCCGCCGTCTGGTACGGTTTATCACGTGATCTTAACCAGACCCCAGAGGCCCAGAGCTCTCTTGGCCCTCGTCTCCCCTGTCGGTCCTGCCCCTAAACTCTGAGACAGTCTCATTACTACTGAGCACCCCAACCCCCCCCAGGCCAGGAACGCGGAGACCCTGCGTTTATTAAAATCCTGTCCGTTTAGAGAAAACACAGCAACTTCACATTGACTGTGTGGGAGAGGAGCTGGTGTATTTTGCTATTTGTTATCATCTCATGAGATAATTACTTATCTGCCTCCACTGAAACGTGGCAAGCACAGG